GATTGTGGAGGGAGCTGTACCAACATGGTGAGTGCAAGTTGTGTGACGAAATTGGAGTTAATAACGAAGATTCATCCAAAACCCTACACTCTTCAATGGCTCAATGAAGATGGTTAGATTAAGGTGGGAAATCAATTTCTCCTCAAGTTCACCATTGGGAAGTACAAGGATGAAGTAACGTGTGATGTGGTTCCTATGCAAGTTGCTCATGTTCTATTTGGGAGGACATGGCAATTCAATCGCAAAGGCACAACATGATGGAGTCACCAACAAGTACACTTTGCTAAATCAAGGTAAGAAGATCTTATTGAAGCCTCTTTCTCCTAGAGAGGTTTATGAAGACCAATTTCAAATGCAACAAATTTGAGAGGAGGAGAAGGAAGCTCAAGCTGCAAGGAGTAGAAAGAAGGGTCGAGTAGCTTGGAGTCCAAGGCGTTGATGCTAGCTCGAAGTGGTGACATGAAGTAAGCTATTAATGATCAAGTTCCTATGATTATCTTCTTATAAAAGGGAGTGCTACTCAATCAAGAGTTGATTCAAGAGATACCACCTAGGACACGAGTGGTATTCGAAAAATTCGAAGTTGTATTTCCCGAGGAAGCTCCAAAGAGTTTATCTCCAATCTGCGGGATAGAGCACCAAATTGATTTCGTTCTTGGAGCTACCATTCCAAACAAGCCAACTTATAGAATGAATCCAGAGGAGACAAAGGGGTTGCAAAGGCATATCGATGAGCTTATAGAGAAAAGACATGTTCGTGAGAGCATGAGTCCCTGCGCAGTTGTTGTCATTATCGTGCCAAAGAAGGACCATACGTGGAGAATGTGTGTTGATTGTCGAGCAGTCAACCAAATAACAGTAGGAGATGAATGGAAGACAACTTTCAAAATGAAGCATGGTCTCTATGAGTGGATGATGATGCCAGTCAGCTTAACAAATGCTCTGAGTACATTTATGAGACTAATGAATCACGTGTTGATAGCATTCATTGGGAAGTTCATGGTTGTATACTTCGATGGCATCCTGATTTACTTGAAGAGCATGGACGAGCATCTTGATCACTTGAGGGACATGTTGAAGACATTGAGAAAGGATTAGCTCTATGCAAATCTTAAGAAGTGCATGTTTTACACCTTATGCGTGGTCTGGGCTTTGTTGTTAGTGCTAATGGAGTTGAATTCGATGAAGACAAGGGGAAGGCTATTCAAGCATGGCCTACTCATACAAACATGAATGAAGTAAGAAATTTTCATGGGTTGGTTGTCTTATATTGACGATTTGTGCCCAACTGCAGCACCATTGCCACGCCTTTAACATCGATTATTAAGAAAAATGTGGTGTTCTATTAGGAAGAAGAGCAAGAGAAGGCATTCGAGCTCCTCAAGTACAAGCTTACTCATGCTCATGTTCTGATGCTACCAGATTTTAACAAGACTTTTAAAGAGGAGTGTGATGCGTCATATTGGGAATTGGCGCTATATTGATACAAGAGAAGAGGCCAATGCATATTTTGGCGAGTAATTAAGTGGAGCTACGCTTAATTATCTTACCTATGATCAAGAGCTCTATGCATTGGCTCGAGAATATGAGACTTGACAACATTACTTGTGACCAATGTAGTCAAAAGCGAGTTTCTACGTAGAAACGTTTTGGTGATCTAGAAACGTAAAATCGTAAGTTTTTAAGTTTTAAAGCGGAGTTTTTAACTACATAAGCTATAAAAACTGAGATTTTGTGTAGAAGCAGTTTAGTGACCTATAAACGTAAAATCGTAAGTTTTTAAGTTTTAGGATGCGGTTTTGACTACATTGCTTGTGACCAAAGGAATTTTCATCCATACTGATCATGAGTCTCTCAAATATTTGAAGGAACAACATAAGTTGAACAAGAGGCATGCACGTTGGGTAGAGTTCATTGAATCGTTTTCCTTACGTGATCAAGAACAAGAGACATGCACGTTGATCACTACCATGGATGCAAGGTACCTTGGGTTCGATGAGGAGGATTCTGATTTTCGCTACAAGCTATGTGAGAAGCATGGAGAAGGGAAGTACTATCGGCATGAGGGTTACTTGTTTCGTGGTAATCAGCTTTGCATACCACGTTCTTCACTTCGAGAATTCGACTATGAGAAGCTCATGGAGGAGGATTAATGGCACACTTTGGTGTAGCCAAAGCATTAAGTTACTTACAAGAGCACTTCTACTGGCCTCGTATGAAAAGTGATGTGGAGAACTTGAGTGCTAGATGCGTGGAGTGCAAGCAAGCTAAATCGAAGGTGCAATCATCTAGATTAAATACACTACTCCCATTTCATCAATACCATGGGTCGACATATCTATGGATTTGGTGTTGGTTTTGCCCAGGACAAGAAGAGGACGAGATTCTATCTTTGTGATGGTGGATAGATTTTTGAAGATGGCACATTTCATTCCATGCCATAAGACTGATGATGCAATTAATGTGGCAGATCTGTTCTTCAAAGAGATCGCGAGGCTACATGGAATGTCGCAGACGATTGTTTCTGATCACGATGCAAAGTTCTTGAGCTACTTTTGGAAGACATTGTGGAGCAAGTTTGGAACGAAACTCTTGTTTTTGACTTGTCATCCTCAAACGGATGGACAAACTGTAGTGGTGAATCATACTCTATCTCAAATGAGCAGTCATCAAGAGCAACATCAAGGTTTTGGGAGGACTGCCTACCACACGTGGAGTTTGCTTACAATAGAGCAATGCATTAAATAATGAAATATTCACCTTTGAGCTCGTGTACGGGTGCAATCCTCTTACTCCATTGGATTTAACATCTCTACATTTGAAGGAGCAAGTGAACTTGGATGGAGCCAAGAATGCGGAGTATGTGAAGAATCTCCATGAGAAGGCACGATTGAGTATCGAGAAGAGAACATAGCAGATTGAGAAAATAGTGAACAAGCATAGAAATACTAGAAATTTTGAAGCATGAGATTGGTTGTGGGTTCATATGAGGAAGGAAAGGTTTCCAAATCAAAGGAGATCCAAGTTTCTACCAAGGAGTGAAGCCCCTTTCAAGTAATTTTGAAGGTTAGAAGTAATGCATACAAGCTTGACTTACTAGAGGAGTATGGCATAAGTTCAACCTTCAACGTTTCTGAACTTGTACCATTTTCTGGAGGATGATTTGGATTTGAGGTCAAATCCTTTTCAAGAAAGAGGGATTGATGAGGTCATCAAGACCAATCCTGCTCAAGAAGAAGAAGGTACAATGACTAGAGCTAGAGCTAAGGCTTTAAGAGATCAAATTGCAAGCTATTTCGGTCCACAACTGAAGGTCATGGACGAGGAGATGCTAGAGGAGTAGAAGCCTCAAGTTAGAGGCTAACTGCAAAATGCCATTCTTGAGAAGGGAACAAGTCAGCTTGGCAAACCACTTCATGCTGCCTTGTTTTAAACCATATAGAGACTTTCTAAGTCTGCATACCTTCCATTCACTTCCTTCTAGTCCAAGTGGTGGTGTCATATAAACTTCTTCATCTAAGTCTCCATGCATAAATGCGTTGGAGACATCCATTTGGTGCAAACACTAGGTCTTGGCTGCTGCTAATGCCAGAAGAGTCTTTACTGGGTTTATTTACATCTAATTTGCACTCAGCAAACAAAACAAATAACGTTCTTTTATATGCATAACAAGCTGTTAGCAAAGGCTCATCCTATATAATAAGTAGATCACCGATATTAACCAACATAATGCTCAATATGTCGAAAAGAAACAATCGGCTTATCCTCGATTCTCCGCTTCGTTTCAACTAATTGAATTCGACAAGGATTGATGTACCATGTATACATACAACGAGCTGGAGCTCAAACTCTAAAATTGCTACCAATTACATGTTCCTTTTCCTTTCCCCCCCTACAATATTTCATCCTCATAAATTCGTTACCCCTTTTATCTTCCAGCTCTTTGCTTTGGCAGCCAGTTCGCGGAATGCAATGCAATATATAGTTTAATGGCTCTTGGCACTTTGCTAGCTCAATATGATAATGATATAACGTAACAGACTTGCATCTGGCAACATAAACTGAACAATAACTGCTCCGAATCTAGGGTTAGCACATGCGAGTTGCTACAAAACCACAACAGTACTGATATTTCCATCTCCATTCTCGTACCAAGTCCTGAAGCCCAGCTGGATAGCGACATAGTATAACCAATAGATTCGTAAATGATCTGGCTTCTCTAATTATCAACTATGCAGTGATCTGTCTTTTTTCTTACAGTGATCTGTTGAAGCTAACTAAAATAAAGTGTTAAGACTACGTATCATATGCCCCTCTCTCTACTATATACCTTTATCAAACATTCTTCTAATTTAATATATATATATATCCTTGCATTTTTTAAAAACAATCAAATTAAAAATGTCCTTCTATTAAAATTTTCATCAAAACACTATCAATCACGATTAAACCGTGATTTTTCGGCTACACAAATTTTTAAAATATCTCAAATAATTTCATTATAATATTTTTTTTGGTTTCAATTATATACAGAATATCCCTAGCTAATAAATTTAATTTAGAGGAATAATTGAAGGGATAGAAATCATATTTCCCCTCCCATTGTTTCGAGGTCAATGATATGTGTGATGTAAAAATATCAACCCAGAATGCAATAATATGCCAACTTGTTATGCATGTATCCTCCTTCCTAATGACAAAAATATCCACCAACAAATAATTAGTTGCAGACTAAACAGAGGAGGACATGATTTAATCCACTATGGAAAACCACTTCTGAAAACAGTTGGAAGAAACCGGTGGTATTATTATTTCTGTTTCTAGCAAAGGATACAAGAAAAACCAAAAAATGAAAAGAGGAAATAAAAAAACGACTATAGATGGCAAGTTCTGGGGTCATGTCTCATGTGACGCTTTAAGCCCAGCGTAGCAGGTAACCACGTGTACCATGTCCCAACTGGATTGTTTTATTTTAAGGATGCCGGAATAACCGGAAAATCTTAGCGATGGCTGTCGGTGCAAGCCGCCATCAATTCCTCCAGATAGTCGGCTCCTAGATCCTCCAGCACCACCACCACATTGCTCTGTCCCGCCGCCGCCGCTGATTTCGTACGACTTTTGGAATGGACGTCATTAGCTTCCACGCCGGCCGGCAATGGCCGCCGCTCCTTGGTCTTTTTGGACGTTGACTTCCTTCGGACGGAGTGGCGGCGCTTCAGGGCCAGCACCGGCGAGCACTCTTCGGCTGCTTCTTCCATCCCTTCCAGTTCCAGCGACTCCCTCACCCTCTCGACGGGGAAGTTGAGCACCGCCATGGAACCCCGGACGGCGAATGCGGCTTGGTCGTAGGCCAGCGCCGCCGCCTCCGCGCTGTCGAACGTCCCCAGCCAAACCCTCACCCCGTTCCGCGTCGAGTCCCGTATCTCCGCCGCGTACTTCCCCCACGGCCTCCTCCTCACCCCTCTGTACGCCGGCGTCGCCAGCTCGTCGGATGTCAAATCTTCCTCTTCTTTGGATGAATACTGGTGGCGACGGAACATTTCGCTGGCTCTGCCAGTAGGGATCAACGCCTCCTTCCCGGCCGCCATGATTTCTTCGGCGGGGAAGGTGGAATATTCGTGCGGTGGCATATCGAGGAAGTCACCACCCCAGCGGCAGCTGGAGCTGCTGAAAGAGTAGTCGAGACAGGATGCTGAAGTGGCAAATGATGATGACGTCGATTCCGGCGGCGGCGGCGGCGAGAAATAGTACTCGAACTCGGATTGTGGAAACTGATGGTGATGGTAACTACTATTGTGGAAATTCCAAGCTTCCATGGTGTGATTGTGTGAAGAGAGATGTCTCTTTCTTTCTGATGAAGATGATGATGGAGGTTGAAGATAGTTGGATCATCCTATTCACCAACGCCCTTTATATAACTGTTCAACAATGGACTCAAGAAGGTCTTTGATCCCATTCTGCAGCTACACATTCAAAATTGGGGTTTTCATTTTTATTTTGGATATATATAACTGAAATATTAAACATCAACTAGATAGTACTAATTTTCCAAAACAATATAGAGGCCGAATAACATGGCAAATAATTTCTAGTTCTAAATCTAATTCTTCATAAAAATAAAAATAAAAAGGAAAAAAAGGCAATGATACCCATGTGATTTGGTTAAATTGTGATCATGCTCAACAAAAAGGAAAAAAAGAAAGAAAAAACAGTAAAGAGGACGAAACTCGGTCTCGATGTAAAACTCGTGGTAGCGGCCTTGGGAAACGGTGGTAGGGAACAACTTAGGATTCCGCCGACAGTACTTTGAGATCAGCTGCAGAATGGTGGGCAAAGGTGATGATTTGTGCAAAAAGCCACAGACAAATACCTATCGAACAATAATTAAACACAAAGGCGATGATTTGTGCAAAAAGCCATAGATGAAAACCTATCGAACAATAACTAAACACAAAAGCGATGATTTGTGCAAAAAGCCATAGACGAAAATTTAGCGAACAATAACTAAACACAAAGTCGATGATTTGTGCAAAAAACCATAAACGAAAAACTAGCGAACAATGACTAAACACAAAGGTTGTAGAATGGAGACTAGGGTAAAAGAAGAGTTTGGAACTTCCCAACTTGCACTTGGAGGAGTGTGAGACAAATGAATAGTAATTCCCATGTTAGGCTTTAATATATTAAATTAATTGAGATGTTGACTTTTGTTGAAAGGCAAGCACGTGTAGAAGTATTAGTAAATGGAGAACGGTTTGTGATCTCTAACACTATGTTTCCGAAGGGAGGGAGCAAAAGGAGGGGAGGTGAAGGAAAATTAGGAAGGGAGGGGAGATTTGGAGGTGAGGGAAATTGGAGAGAATTGGAAAGAAAATGTTGTTTTATGAAGGAAAATGGAGAGAAAAGTAGGAGATAAAAAATAGATTGAGAAGTGTGATAGATATTGTTTTTACTGATGATGTAAGAGTTAAATAATTAACTTGTGTTTATACTATTTACATTAATTATATATTGTGGATCAAAGTGGTTCTTCTTTGCTAATTTTGTTAACTACAACAAATTAAGTTGGTTATTTGAATAAAATTAGTGAACTTGTTACTAAGAATAAGTTAACTATTTTATTGAGTCATCAACATGGCAACCAAATATATAAACATACAATAAATCACACATATATAAATTGTCCAAAAAACAACGGGATAATAGTAGTTTTCCAAACATAAGGTTACATGCTAATACTAGAAGTACATAAATCTGTCCAAAATCTGTTAATACTAGACATACATAGTACAATCCGTTTAAAAGGTCGCCTGATAATACTAGACTTACATAAGTTCGTCCAAAAGAAGGCAACATGTTAGTACTAGTTCACATGCTAATACTAGACATACATAAATCCGTCCTAAATAAAGGCATCCACTAATACTAGACATACATAGTACAATCCATCCAAAAGAAGGTCACCTAATAATACTAGACTTAAATAAGTTTGTCCAAAAGAAGGCAACCTGTTAGTACTAGGCATACATAATACTAAACCACATCAAAAGTCAACTTGCCAAAAGGTTTGTTTTTTTGCCAAATCAACAATGAACTGTTGTCGATACTCTTCTGGCAAGCCAAATAAAACCCGTCTGGTATCTGGATTTTTTGCAAGATACTTATAGCCATTCAACCTCATTTCTCCAAGAATATCATAGCGTTGCAATTCTTGGAAAATTTCGCCCTCTTTGTAGATGTGAGTCTTCTGATGGTCGAGAATTACCAAAGACCTCTCTTTAATCCCATTTCCTTTCTCCATAGCCTTGACAGAAAGTTCAGCAATCACATTACCTTTCTCTATACTTGATGTCATTATACTCATGTTGACATCCATTACCTCAAGCTGATTGGTAGATAGATCTCCCATAGGAGCTTTTCTTTTGGTTCCCTTTGAAGAGGTAGTACCATGAGAGTCGACCGATGGTGGAGGATCAGGAGTAAATGAAGATCTAGCATCGGAGCTATATGCGTTTGTGCCTTCACGAGGTGTAAATGGTGAAGGAATATAGGCATTCATACCTTCATCATCTCCTGACATGTTATTCAAATCAATGTCGAATGTCGGAGTCCTCATATTCCAACGTTCAATCCTCTCAAATGCACTTGCGGCTCCTTCTCCGGTTGCTCTAAACTCCCCATACAACTCAAAGAGTTTATCATAGTTGTTGATGGGTGTCCTAATCCATCGACTAGCATTCGGCTTCTCCTACATTACAAAAATGAATTTTATAATAATATGTATGTGATTGGAAAGTCAAGGAAAAAAGGCAAAAAAAGATCATATACCTGAATTAGTTGCTCCCATACTTCCCGTTCAGCTTCAAAAAGTTTGGTTACCGGATTCCAGCAAAGCCACTCATGTTATGGAATAAATCTTTCACAGTTGCAAAGTGCTTTTTCAATGTCTTCTGCCTATTTTTTATTTTCTCCTTGTCGAAATTATGCCAAAACAACCCATGAAAAGCAATAACAACATTGTTATAAGCATGAGTTGTGAACATGCCCTCTTGCCTATTCCCCTTACGTTGCTCGGCTAGTAAACTTTCTAGCAAAGCAGTGTCCATCTCCTCTGTCCATTGTAGGTTCTCCTTAGTGGATGTCTCCCCCAGAATTGTCTGCTTCCCTTTTGTTCGTTTGCTCATTGTGCTTCCTTTAAAAAAGGATGAATATTAGTCATCACAACTAGACAGTGGATAAAGGCATAATTGCAAGTACTTCAGTTCTGGGGAAAAAATAAAGGCACACATAAATAAAGGCACAAAAGTCTCTTATATGGAATAATGTACTACAAAACATCCAGAGTAAACAAAAGTTGTACAAATTATACACCATATTCATTCAACAGGAAACCTCTAAAGTAATAACACAGCTACAAACACATGTCAACCTTGTTGCATATTATAATCATGCCACATGTGTTCTACTATACTATCACGTAATTCTATCCCAACTCTTGATTCCTCTTCACATTGTGGCTCGTTTTGCCTTTGGATCCTCTCTAGTTCTCGATCAACTTCTGCAATTAGCTGCTCATCGAGGTCGACTCCCATAAGAAAGTTATGTATGATACAACAAGCTAGGATAATGTTGGTAGTTGTGCTGAAAGAATATTGTGGCTCCATACCGGTGCCAATAATAGGAAATCTCTTTTTCACCACCCCTAAAACATCTTTCAATCGAGTTATGTAGACTAGCATGACGATGATTGAACAATTCTTTATCATTCTTAGGACCATTACGTGAATACTCCTTTAAGTGATACCGAACACGTCTGTATGGTGTTAATAACGAAGCACGTAACATTAGCCCACCATCCCCGAGATAGAATTTCTCTATAGATTATTAAAAAAACATTAATGAAAAGATGAATGATGTAAGTAATGGTGAAACACATACAAGAATGATTATGCTACATGACATACCTTCCGGTATTACAAGCCCATGTGGTCTAGCCAATGCATCTTTTAAAATCCTTGAATCAGATGCAGTCCCTTCCCACCCAGCTAAAATATATAGGAATTGCAAGTCAAAGTTGCATGAAGCTAGAACATTTTGAGTAGGCCACTCTTTCCGACCTCTAAAACGAGTTTGACTGGCGCGATTTACTTCACCCGAAAGTGGGTACCATCAATAGCCCCAATGCAATCTTGAGGAGATATGTATGCAGACATCTAAGTATACATGGTTTGAAAGACACCTTAAGATATGGAACTATGTACACAATGGAAGTAATGAATCATTACCTTGAAGTACGTAAAAAATCTAGAGTTATTGCCTATTGTGGAGGACACCGGCGTTGTTGCATTAGGTTGCTTCATGAATTGAGGTGCTAAACTTATCACAGCTCGCAAGACATTATGAAAATGCCTACTGACAGTCCCAATACTTCGACGATAGTAGAAAGCCAGATTGCGATACTTGCCACCAGTTTGGGCAAGGATAGACAAAAATCTCGCTACTTTCTCTTCCACTGTGGCACGATTATAATCTTGCAGCACTCCCATACTCCGTAATTTTTCACAAAAAAGATCAAAAGCATCTACTCCCATGCGTAATGTTGCACGACATGCAACTTCATGGTTACGTAATTCTTTCAAAAAATCTCTTCTTTTCTCCTCTCTCACTTGAAAACTCAACCCCGAAGATCTACTCGAGGCTTGTCTATTTAATAGATGCAATGCATAGACAATATAGCATATAAGTTGTATGACACAAATATCTCTTTGTCTTCGCCAATTTTCCATGACTATTATCCAACTATCTTGTTCTGTACCATGCAAATCCAAAATCTCTTCCAAACCATTTGTAACATGCTCTTCAATCTCATTTGAATCTTGAGCTTCTATATTCATCTAATCAAGATAGAAATGATAATTAAGTTGCTATGTTAATGTTGTAAATTTTATTTAGCACACACATCATATCATTTGTACATTAATCGGCAGATGATGGACTTTATTGGGTAAATCATGATGTTCTCTTTTTAAAGTCAAGTTTTAGTACCAATGAAACATCTTAAACATTAGAAAAGAGCAACCTGTAAAAGCACAAGCACAACAACTAGAGTTCAAAGAATCAAAACCATCTAGTCATAACAATAACAAAAAAAAAAAAAAAACAGATTCAACAAAGGATAACCAGAGCCACATCAATGGGCTGACAATGAAAACATCCAGCAGTTCAGTTCATTATCCTAAACTAAGAAAAATCATAAGCAGTAGCCTGAGTCAAAGTGGTATAATGCATTCAACAATTAGTAGAGCAACATACCTCGCGGCATCAACAACGGACACTATTGTCCCCAGTCCTCAAGCTAGCGAAAGTCTCCTAGAAGCCCAGAACGACCGAGAGAGAAGAAAAATCAGAGGCCCCCGGCAGCAAAAGCAGCAATTTGTATTTTGTAATAAAGAAAAAAAACATAACTTTATATACCCTAGCTTTTATGATTTGAGGGAGAAGGGAATATGATGAAATTTGGGGTAGATTTTCTTACCATGGACAACGGAGAATACTCTGATTTTCAGCGGCTGCCCAAAGAAGAAGGAAGCAGGCTATGGGACAGTTCTGGTTTGGGAAAGAAAAACGAAAGTCCAGTAGCAACCACGGTGAACCCTAGTTCTCTGATTTGGGGGGAAAGGAATAAATAAGAAGTTTTGATCGGGGAAGAAAATCAACAAAGAAAAACATATTGCCCACAGAGACTGAAGAAAGGAGGCCGATTTTTCAGAATGAAAAACAAAGATTTGTGGGGAGAAAGAAGACAATCAAAGCTGCGTGTACTGTGGGGAGATGGCATATTTTGGAAGAATGGAATGTATGATATATTATGTGAGGTAAATGAAATATAGCTTTATTATTGTCATTATTTGTGCAATGGGAGAAAGAAGACAAACGAGATCTGGGGAGGAAAAAGAAGAACAAAAGACTCTGTTTCTTCACTACAATTGGTTCTTCTTCTGTATCCTAGGGGAGTAGGAAGAAGATAGTAGAGAAAAGAGAGGAGAGAGGAGAGAGGGAAAATAAATAAATAAAAAAGAATTTTGCTGGTCAATTGTTGTTTTCTCTCAAAAAAGGAGGGTTGGGTTACACAGTAACCTGTCCACCCACTTTCCTTCACCTTGTCACTGTTACTAATTTCAGAAACTGTGGAAAGTTTCTTGGAGATGGTGCTTTCCCTCCTTTTCTTTCCCACGTGAACACAGTGTAAATGTGCTACTACCACTTAAGTCACCCAAATCAAATCATGCAATTTGATACTTATTAATAAAATAATGAATGTTATTCATGCATGTTGATATTTATTCACATCATTATAATATTGATGGAAACCTTTTCTGGGATTTGTCTCTCAAATACACTTTAAGGGGTAGGGCGGAGGGTGAGAGATCTGATTTTTAAAATCTTCTTCAAAACATTCATTGTAATATATTTTATGTAGATCCATCAATGATAATTTGGGAGCCATCTCCAAGTGCGGGCTTCTAGGTGCATTCGATGTATGAGTGCCTAATCGCTGAACATAACTTGATTGGAGCTGAGTACCCATTCACATTAATCTGGCAACAGGGCGTCCCGTACAAAGTGTGTGCATTCATGTGAATAGTGTATAAGAAGAAAGCGCTGATGCAGGATCTTCTCAAAAAGCGTGGATTGGTGTTTCCAAATCGGTGTGCTATGTGCCAGGAGGATGAAGAAAGCATGGATCACTTATTCCTAGCTTGCAGGTTTGCGCGGAGGGTGTGGCACATAATTATGAAGAGTTTCGTGAAGCTACCCAAAGATATAGATACAGATGTAGCGGTGATATTCAGAGGATGGCAACACTGGAAACCAGCTTGTCTGAAGTAATGGTGCTCAAGAATCTTTCTGCACGCGTTTAGCTGGCGGTTGTGGCTGGAAAGGAAAAGCAGAATCTTCAGAGACAAGGAGGAGCCTGTAAACGTGGGTTGCTTTAGAATTGGACACACAATGGGGGACTGGTTTTGCGCAGAGGAAAAGGGTGGGCGAGGACTCTAAAGATGACGCTTATGCCAATAGCAAAACAAGAGAGGCATAACTGATTTAGCAGGGGTGTCACGTGAGCCTGTACTGCTCTTGAGGCCTCACCTATTAGGTGTCCCGCGCTGCGCCTTTCTTGTGTGTGTTTTCTGCTTCTTCCCTTTATCCCCTGGACTGTTAGTTGGGCTGCTCGATGTTTGTAAGCCTGGTCTTTAACAGTCTCCTTCTTCTCTCTTGTTTTGTATTCATCTAAACTTTAATAAATGATTTCACCATTATAAAAAAATCAAAATTTGAAATCTACTAAAATGGATTATATTGTGTAGATTACTATCAATCCAGCTCATTTATAAAAAAATTCATGTTTAACTCCATAAATTATAGACAATACATATTAGGAAAATTTTCTCACTCCATTATAGGAGACAAGAAAACTTTTCCTAGTAATAGAGTTTTTTTGTTCCTTTGAATGATAAAATTCTAGATAACCCAAAGGAAAAACAAGACGAGATTTACATGATTTCTCCATTTCGAAGTGAACGAGACTACTCTACAGATAGGCTCAACTCTCAAGTTATTTTATTTTTCTTAATGCTTAACTTAGTTTGGCCATCAACATGTAACTGGCCTTAATACAAAAACTATGAACCTTATTTCCTTACACAAGTTACATAGGGAATAGGAACACCCAAACTAACTCGGAAACTAACAACTCACATAAATCGGGTCGGAAAAAAATGCAAACTCCCTTCTTAAGTGGATGCGTGAAGATCATACATGCCAAACTTGGGCAATATATAAAAAATGATCAATGATCCCAAGATCTTTGTTGAACAAATTGGCAGGTTGCTCGACAGTAAGGTACATCACACCTTCAATTGAAGGGACTAATTAATCAATACACAAGCTCAACAAGTTTGGAATCCGCCAAACCCAACAGAAGTACGCAAACTTGCAAACTTGCTAAAATGGAACTAACAGACTATTCAATCGATGAACCTGTTTTGTGACTTTTATGGTTCCATGTTCGTTGATCCAGCTGAGACTGTAAGGTTGGATATGCTTCTTCGTACTTAGTCCAAGCTTCTTTACGGCCTTCATACTGATGATATTGGCACAACTTCCACCATCAATCACCATTGATGCCACTTTTCCATTGATTAGACAACGACTGTGAAACAAATTGTCTCTCTACTCGTCGGAATCTTGATGCTGAACTGGAGCTGCTGGCCACTTCTCTTGGCCACAAATTGGAAGCTTCTAGACTCTCCACTGCCTCCTTCCATCATGCTACCCTTGGTGAAATTTGCCATTGCAATTGAAGCACGAATCAGCAACTAGAACTGCTCGTACAAGGGCTGCCATGTTTTCGCGTCGAATTCTGCTTGTACGAAACAACATGTTCTTCTTCTTCTTCGCCCTTTTGTAGAAATGGGCTCTGATAACACTTATTAAGCATCAGAGGGTGCTTTTAATCAAAGTAACGCAACAACAATCAATCCAAAGATCGATTGAACTTGAATCAAGAACAAAGCGCTCTTAATATGAAATTGGGATAAAACGAAACTAACGGACAATTCCTCACCTGGGGAAAGCTCGTATGGTATAGAAGGGTAGTTGCTCGACCATGATAGAAGGAACTATTCAATTGATACACAAGCTCAGCAAGTTTGGAATCCACCAAAGCCAACAGAAGTACCCAAACTTGCAAAACCCAAAGGTTTCAATTCAATTCATCAAAGTCTTACGTTTACAACGAAGTAGGAATCTTAAATAGGCCTAGCTAGGGTTACACACGTCCAATAAAATCTTAATTACATTCTGATGCGAAAAGGAATCAAAAAATACCAAAAAAACACGAAATCCTAATCGAAGAAGGAAAACTAATTCAGGTTTTACAAGAAAGAATTTTGTTACTTCGTACTAACTTTGAGCTTTTCGTTTGAAGCCTTCCAGGCATCCAATTCCTCATCCAATGCCTTGATCTTGTGGACAAACATATCTAATTTTATGTGGTAGAAGCCTCTGGACTGGAATCTCATCCATGCTTCTAGAATTAAGCTCCAAAGTAGGCTTTATGATCGCGTTTTCTGCCTTAGTCAAATTATGGCAGTTTTCTTGTTTTGACATACACTTTTGAGCAGCTTGGAAAATGACCTTCCTGACTTCTCCTTGGTCTTCCAAGCATACCAATGTGTAGATAAACACTCCATCTGCAATACAAGCCATGAATCTTGAATTTTCATTGAGCAAATTGTGATAACCAAGCCTCCAGAGTAGGCTACCTGAAACAGTTAAAACACTTAGCCAAAAATTAGGAATCTTCATATGAGTCGAGATGACTTCTTTGACAAGTATTCTAAATTTTAGAAGTGGTTAATTTGGATCATATAATTATTTCTCTTAGGGGATTAGACATCCCAATAAGGGCTTCCGACATTCTTATGACAACTTCTTTCACTCTTATAACATAGATGAACTTATTGAGTACACTTTGTCTAGAACTAGAGTCGTCTATAGGAGGGCTCTGAAGAGCTAGGGCACGAGCGGTGGAGGCGCAAAGGTTGGGTTCGACGCCCCTTTTCCATTTGTGCTTGGTTGCTCGACCCACAAACTACCTCTCCTCCAAATTTTTTGCACCTTCCGACTAATAGAACTCCAGTGGGATCTCGGTCAATGTTGGGCTTGCTGCAGTACCAAATCCTTTTGTTTTGGCCTTAAAGTTAGCACGTGTGTTCCAATCCATTTTTATTTGATCACATCAGCTTGTATTCTCATTCTCCTTGTGATCCATTGGGTCCCTTGGTGTTCCATATTCCTCTTGAGTGCATTATATCATCAAAGATCACAAAACATCACCAAAAAGGCATTCTAATAGTTAAAAAATTACCCAAGGTCTATCATAAGCACATTATTCAAATAGTTATGAATTTCATACGAAATATAATAGCAATCATTAAAGATGCATTGATAGAAGGGAAATGTATCGAATATGAGGGTGATAAACGCTATAAGCCTATAAATAGAGTGTCGTCAACTACATGGCACTGGGAATGGCTAAGAATCGGATTGCTCAGAGTTAAAAAGACAAGGCAGTAGAGGTAGCACTTCTTCGTCCAAGGAAAGAAGAGAAATCGAATCCCTAAGTCCAAAGAGAAGCCACCACAGCCAAATCAGAAAAGACTCCACGATCCACACTCTTAAAATCAGCAAAGATCAGATCTAATCCATCAGGGGAGGATTGAGAGGGACAACAGTGAATGATTTCACCACGGATGATGAAACCACCAACTTTAGAGAAACCCACCAATAACCTTTGATAGTCTCTCAAGATGCATAATCTTGCCCCAAAGGATAGCAAACCCAAATAAGAACCCTAGAACAGAACAAGGAAAAAGGAAGGCCATAACAGATGGAAAAGCTAAACCAATGGAAATACGAGGAAAATCGCCTAAAGCTAAGGTGTAGGGATGGGTATTCCGTCGGTTCGATTTTGACCGAACATAAATTATGAATACTGGGTCCCCGAATTCCACCTAACTTCAAACCAAATTTGAATCGTATTATAATTCGGTCTGGTAGGTCTAAATCGAATTATAATTTGGTTTAGTTTTATTTCGGTTCGATTTGGGTTTACCGATCCAGTTGCCCGTCCCTACAATAAGGTGTGGGGGCCAAGGAACAAAATGAAAAGGAAGAGGGTCATGGGCTGTCGTTGGTCACCAAGAGGTGTCGGCCACAACCCCCTCCAAACTGAAGTAACACTAAAGCGAAGTTGGAGGGTTTGAAAAAGATGAGAGAGAGAGAATGGAAAGATTAGTAAAAGATTAGCAAGAGGTGACCCAATTACCTCGAAATAAACCAATGTAGTTAAATTGTCTTATTTGACCGTACATATATAATAAGGATGTTACAATTGAATTGAGATAATTTAAATTCCTTTGTTTGCATCCATTTGAATTGACAAAAAAAGGGACAAGTATTTACAATTAATGCTACACAATTGTATCAAATTACCTCATTTACCATCCATACAAGCTAAAAACTCACTTAAGTCAACACTTAGAATTATTAAAGCTGATTTGAATCCCACAATAATGTACAACTTGTAGCAGAAAGTACAAACAGCAACCTGTCAAGAACCAGTTGCTCCCAATAACTCGAGTTTTTGGGAGAGGTTCAATCGTGGATCTTATACCATTCTCTAACACGCCCCCTCAAACGAAAGCCAACCCATGGGCTTGAAGTTTGCACAGGCCCACCATACCATGTGCTTGAAAGACAACGGTTAATATTGGGGGTCGTGGAGATTCGAACACATGACCTTTCGGTTCTAGGCTCTGATACCATGTCAAGAACCAGTTGCTCCCAATAACTCGAGTTTTTGGGAGAGGTTCAATCGTGGATCTTATACCATTCTCTAACACAACCCACTAAAAATCTCCCCATGGACGTAAACCAACAAATTGACGAAGAAAGAAATTAAACAAAAACAGAGAAAACCTACTTGTGCTACAAAAGCTATGGACAGATACAGTAGGCCTGGCCTAGAACAGAGCTGCGTACGGAGGGCTTCCACTCCCACCAGTTGGCCATGGCGGAACCGACCAATTCATTGATCTTTGGGATAGTTGCGGTCATCGTCCTGGAAATCAAGAAGCTCTTCAAGCAATTTATCATCCATACACTCAATCACGAACACTTCTTTCCCTTGCTCTCTGCTCGCAACTGTACGGGCAGCAGCTGGCGCGGCCGTTGGAGGGTATTCGTCGGGGAAATTGAGGATGGCAAGAGATCCCCTCATCGAGAAAGCGGCACCATCGTATGCTCTGGCGGCTTCCTCGGCGGTACCGAAAGTTCCGAGCCAGAGCCTGGCGCCGTAATTGTTAGTGTCGCGAATCTCCGCCGCGAATTTCCCCCACGGCCGCCGCCTGACGCCTCTGTATCGCACCGCATCACCCATTTAATTTCCTGTGCTAGTGCGAGCGACTTAATTGCCTAGCGATTTGTCTTTCGGACATGCATGCGTTTTATATAGATGTATCCCGGCTGCAGATCGAATCTGATTGGAAACTGTAAAGAAATGGGGAGATCGATGGTGATTGGGGGAGAAGGACTGCAGCTGAGGAAATCCAGCGTACGTAGTATTCGTGACGCTGAAGCTGATGCCATTTGCGTTTCCCTGGGTGATGAGATGATCCTCTCGGATCTTCAGGACCACTTCTTTTATTTACCCCCTGTGTGTTTTTTTAATGGGAAATTTTAACATGTTTCTTTTCCTCTTGACAAACTGAGTTAATTTATGTGCAAAAAGGGCAAATGACATATTCGTCACTAATTGCTCCTTTTTTTTCTTCTCAAAATACAGAATATATATAAGTAAAGAACTAAGTGAGGCCCTTTTAAGGAAAATGAGAAATGGTTGAAAATGGAAAAGGACTAATAATAAGAACATAGTTGGAATTATACTACAAGTCAGCGTCAATTGGTCACTAATTATATTGGATTTCCAAAACCAAAACTCATCTATTAATGTGAAGTTTTTTTTCTAATTCGTAGCGCTTATGTATTTAGCACAAATTAAATGGGCAAATTGCAAGTTTGGTTAGTGGATTTATTACAAAATTTCATGTTTGTCACTAAGATTATTTTATGTGGATGGAGGGATACAGTTAGCTGGATGGATAGGGCCAGCTGGATTAGGCTGTGGGATGCGGATATTCCCCCAAAGTTAAAAGTTTTTATGTGGCAGATTTTTCATCGGATCCTTCCTACTACCGAGGGACTCATTGCTAGGAGTGTTCCAGTCTTACCTCGTTGCCCGGTTTGCTGGGGGGCCTCTGAGACACTGGAACATCTTTTCTTGGACTGTCAAGTGGCTCGGGCTTTATGGGATTATTCAGGGCTGGAACATCTGGGCCAAGCCTTGCCTCGCCATAATTTTCCTCTGTTTCTCAAACAGCTGCTTACCCTCATCCATCAACCGCGTTTGGTCATGGCTGTGGTAGCAGTTCTTTGGAGGATATGGAAATCCCGCAATTGGGTGGTATTCGAAGGGAAGCAGTTTGGGTCTCCGGCTCTGATGCGGCAGTTTCAGCAGCAGTGCGAGGAATGGGAGCGGACTATGTCCGGTAAGATGGTGGTGAGCCCAAGGAGAATGAACAACCAAACTGAGATGGCGGGAGGTTCTTCGCTGGTTTGTATGTGGGATGGGGCTACTCGAGCAGGGTCTCACTCTGCGGGTGGGATGGTGCTCCTGGACAACCATAGAAGAATCCTCTGGGCACAAGGGATCCAGTACCAGTTTATCGATGATCCGTTGGTGGCTGAGGCGCTGATTCTGCGAGATGCTATCTCCTGGTGTGTGGCCAATGGATTTCCGGAAGTTCGCTTTGAAGGGGATTCCAAGATCATTGTGGATAAAATTCATCAGGTGGATGTTCAGGATAGCAGGATAGGGGTGCTTTTAGATGAAATACTGCAGGGTTTGGGAAACCAGTCAGGATTTAGTTTGCGATTCGTTGGACGGAGGAACAATAGGGTAGCCCATGTTGTGGCTAGAAAGGCCCTTGCTTTGTACCCGTCTCTGTGTCGCGCGTTTAATTTTCAGACCTGGCTGTTATCCAGGATGTAACGTTGCCTTTCTTTGATCAATATATGATTATCTTTTGTCAAAAAAAAAAAAAAAAAAGTCACTAAGATTATTTTATTCCATTCACGCTCACTTAAATTAGTTTAATAATCCAACTTTGGTCAATGACCGTTAGTCTACGTTAACTTTTGCTGATGTGGCAGTTAACTCTCATAGTTGATCCTTAAATGAGTGACGTGGCAATTCAAAAATAATCAAAATCAAATTTAATTTCTTAAAATTTCCTGCTCATTTTTACAACTACTAGAAAATAAAAATTAAATTTTATTTTTATTCTTTTCTTTCGATATTCCATAATAAATTCAATAATAGAAATGAAATGTCAACGACTCTGTTGATATAGAATAGACAAATCATTAAAAAATACAAATGATTTGATTAACATAAATAATATATGATAAAAATAAAATGAAATTTATCCCACCACCTAGCGGAGTAAAAGTTAGTTTTCTTAAGTTAGGAGCAATGTATTAAAAACCCCTTCTTTTTTTTATAATGATTAAAAACCCCTTCTTAAAATACAAAGAATGCACATTTGTGCAAAACGTTAAAATCATATGTCAAAACCGGTAAAAATGCTTAAAAATGGTCGTTTCCGATATGTTTTTGTACGTTTCCAGTTGAAAGACTTTCAACCAATTTTATACTCTCCCTGTCCAGTATTATCTCTCGACAAACCAGAGCGCAGTTGGATCCTGAACGAGTCTTGGATCTGTCTTTAAAGTTTTAGGATAGTCCAATGGTTGGTTTGTCTGAATCCACCCAGAACCAACTGCGCAGCTACAAAAAAACAGGGTCACACCTTGTCTAACCAGTAACATTTCTCGACGGACCAGATATCATAAGAAGTTAAGGACAATCTCAAAGGGTCATATTGGATCAGAAAGTATGTAACGCGTCCTCAAAATTTGAGGACGATCCAATGGCGGGTTTTATTGGAATCCCCTCTTGGAAGCACTGTCTTGTTGCAAAAAGAAAATTGTACAGCTCTTCTATTCCTCTCGTCCTTTCCCTCTCAACTCCCCAGCTATAATTTCACCTAAATTTTATGGTTCCTTCAAGGTTTGTTGTTGATGGTGAGAGGGGATGGGGGAGTGGGAGAGGAAAGAAAGGATCGAAAAGCCGAGGGTAGGGGTGGACAACGGGACGGGATTGGGTACCCGTCCCGTTTGAAACGGGTACCCAATCCCATCTGGAGAGGATACTTCATCCCATGTCCCAAACCCGTACGGGTTAACGGGTACCCATCACCCGTACGGGACGGATAACGGGTACCCACGGGTACCCATAAATACCTAAAAGGCTAAAATGACAAATGATAGTTTTTGTAACTCATAGATGATGCTGAGATTGATTTCGTGACGTTTTAATACAACTAGACGCTTGATCACTTCAACTATAAGACGGAAAGTTACACCACTTTCTGGCAGAGATATATCGTGAACGTCAAGCACTCGGATGTGCCAATATCTACGCTACAATTTTTTGGTCTACTTTGGGCCTGAACTCTGAAGGAAGGATTAGCTACGCTTGGAAGGATATTTGCTTCCTTACTGAGAATGCTCCCCATTTCAAGGCCCTCTTATTCTTATATATTGAAACCCGCTTTGGTACCTACTTATATTAATTTCCAGTCATCCAATTGATCCCATTTTGGTACTATAAAGTGGATACCCGTAGTGGGAGAAAGCTTTGAGAAATAACACTTCTCTTGGCTACTTGAACTCTGCTCAGGTGATTGCAGATTATGCTGCCATCATCCTCCACGTCAAGCAAACTTATTCAGCTAACAACTTCCTTGTCTATTTTGTAGGAATTTTCGCTAACGGGTATTACGGGTACCCATTTTACCCAAACGGGTATTAACGGGCAACCCGTGGGTACCCATTGTAGACATCATTGATCCCAAATCCCATCCCGTTAAAAAAATAACGGGTATTTAGGTACCCGTAACCCTCAAAAAACGGGACGGGTATGGGTATACCCAAATACCCGTTTCCCGTTGTCCACCCCTAGCCGAGGGGAAGAAGATGAATGAGGGTGCAATAATTGGCCATAGATATGAAAAAAGGTAAATAAAAGAAATGAGAAGAAATATGTCATGGCGAGTGGAAGAACGAGAAGAAATATCAGAGATATGATTAAAGGACCGAAAAGAAGAATTTATTTTTTATTTTTAATAATTTCGATAATGAGATGAAAAATTAAAAAAATTAGTTTTTTTATTATTTTTAATTATCACGTAACTTACGTAAGGGTCAACTATGAGGGTTGTCTTCCACATCAGATAAAACTAATGAAATTGGGCGTTCATTAACAAAATGTGAATGATTGAACTAATCTAAGTGACTACAAACGATATAAGATATTTTTACTGACAAACGAAAAATAATTTAATTAACCTAGTGACCAAACTTGTAATTTTCTCGTTTTAACTAAGAAGATTGTAAACCGAATTAACTACGAACTCATGGAAGAAAGAGAATCTATCAGCATTTGTAGCCAAGAATCTACAAAGGTGGCTGGTTTTGACATACGTAGGGTCTGCACAATTTTATTTAGCCAATTCGGCTGGGGGAGATGAATTTGTGTCATCTTTTCTCTAGAACATGGGGGGCTGGCTCCTCTTTCTCTGCCTGCTTAATTAATTGCTTCAATAACCTTTGCTTTTGGCAATATGCATGCAGAGTGGTTGTTGGACAAGAGAGGAGTTATGAATTTTATTTGAAACTAGTGGAAGTGGTCCGGTGAGAAGAGTGAATGATGATTTGATTTAGCGTGGACCTGAGCCTAAATTAGCCCACTTGTTTTCATCTTTAATCTTATTTTTTTGCTTATATTAATCTCCGTCCAATCCTGGACACAATAGGTTAAGCAAAGTTGATTATCGATGCTGATTCTGTATATTAAGTAATAATTATTAGGCTGCAGCATGGTTGTCATGCCGGTGGCATGCCACCCGGTTGAACCTGGTTTAACCTGTGTCGGTCATGAAACCGGCATGACACCACCGGTATGAGCGGTATGATCGATTTACACATTCTAAGAAAAATGATATCATTTTAATGAATTTAATGAATAAAAAATTAATTTTTTATATTTTTTATGAATGTAATAGTTAAAAGTTGATGATATTTGTTGGATTGTAACTAAATTGTCCACAAATATGTTTTTATATATGATTAAATACATTGGATATTAATTGTTTTCACATTTTTTTAAACCGGCATGAACCGGCACAAACTCGTTATACCACCGGTCGTACCATTCCACTTCCCAAACAGGTATAATGGTATAAACCGGTTTGACAACCTTGGGCTGCAGTAATTGTCCGCGTCAGCCTGTGCTGTGCTGGTAGTAGCTAGGATGGTCCGATTGCGCTTAGGCCACTGCCCATATTGTTTTGTATCTGATTTGAACGTTTTGTCCTCTCTTCCTTAAGTTTTATTGCATTGATTACTTGCTATCAACAACATCGAGCAATACTTTCTCTTAATTTCACTGTCTACAATGTAATGATTCACCACCTAACTTCAATATTATAGTTTATACCCGGTATGTATACCTAAATCATTACGGACAGTACTATGCAAAATAACTTGTGTAACTTATAAGTTAGGTTGATTTGTTTGACAGATTGAGCAACTTTCGTAAACAAATAGAGTATGCGCATGAATCGGAAGAATGGAGTTGTGTGAGAAAGGAGAAGATGGATTGGATTGAAGAGCAGCAGAAAATATTGTATTTGCTTCCTTCCATAGTTACTTACAGTTATATACCAACTAGAAATTGAAGCCCATTACTTGTAAATCAAGAAGAAAATGACACGGCCCATTACTTGTAAATCGTAATACTAGAAGTAATAAAATAAGACAAATTAATAGATAAATTGAGTCTTTTTTTCTTCATAAATATCCCAAAAGGAAACAACAGATACAACGTTAAAAAATAATTTTCAAGTCGGTATAGTTCAGAGGCGGGTGAAAGGGATAGTCTCCTCGACGAGATTGTCGGTCCTGGTTAACAGGGAATCTACATATTTTTTTAAGATTGAGAGAGGTTTGAAACAGGTTTCGTTTGTTTTGTTTTACAAGAGTTCTTTTCGTTGCTTTAGCATTTGGACGCATCACGAGGTTTTATCACTCCCAGACAGGGGTGGACCCAAGTTAGAGCAAGGTGTGTCACCCGACACACCTTGGCTCGAAAATTTTGTGAGAGACCATGCTTTCGACGGTACAAAAAAATTAAAACTTGAGACTTTCGACACACCTCAATAATTGTAAGCGACACACCTTTATTATTTTACAAGAAATTTGTTGTTACATAGTTAGTAAAATATATAAATATATATTGTCTTTAGTTTACTTGGTTCTGAAGTTACTGTTGACTTTATCTATTGCAACTATAAGTTTCCAAAGGCCTTTTTAGCTATGAAGGTAATCAAGAACAATCTTCGGAATTGATTGAATTACCAATTCATGAATGATTGTTTAGCTGTGTATACCAAAAAAAAAAAATTGATTTGCAACATGGACAATGAATATGTTTTACATACCTTTTAAGATATGAAAGTCGTCGTGGTTTGTTGTAAATGATATTGTAAAAAATGTTAATTATTTTTTATTTAATATATTACTTTATAAGCCGACACACCTATTCAAGAATTCTGGGTCCGCCACTGCGTCCCAGACAGGGGTAATCGTAAGTGAGTTCTCTCCTTTTTCTCTATATCTTTCGTGTCTTTTGACTTCTTGGAGCTTCAATAGAGCTGCACCTGGTCACAAAACATGCTCTTTAATTGAAAATCTGGTTTTTTACAATAATCGTTCTTTATTACTGGTCATAATAAATACTGTCTTAAAACACCACAAACACGACATAGATGAGGTGAAAGCAGCTTTTATCAGAGCTGAAAAGCCTTGATGGTTTCCTCAACGTCTCCGCGGTTCGCGCTATACCGCTTAACGAACTCGTAGGATGGGAAGGACCTGTAGAGAGCAGGGTTCGCCGCATCGACCAGAGCTTTCGCTGGTTCGATGATGGTGTCGACGTCGGGATGCAGAAAGAAAGCCCCCGATGTTCGAGCCTTGACGGAATTCGTCACAGCCCTGTGCTCAGCACTTTTCAGCTTCCCGTTACTGATAATCTGTATATAATTAATTAGTAGTGTTAGTAGCAACAAAGAAAGATCAGATCAGATCGGATATGTGTATGAATAGAGTAGTGAAAAGACAGCAGGCAGACCTGCAGCTGGTGGCCGACGTTGACGACAAATGCGTTTGGGATGGGCTGGACTCCGATCCAGTGGGCGTCCTTGAAGACCTGGAGGCCGTAGGAGTCCTGGCGCAGAATGGTTAAGATGGTTGGGTCGACGTGCTTGTACACTCCCAGGCTGAGGGTGGGATCGGGGCAGGGCGGGTAATGATTGACTTGCAGGTACATAAACTTGCTGAACTCTTCCAGGTAGCCGCTGCTCAGGCCAAGGCCTTGGCTGATTTTCTCCAAAATCCTGAAACCCAACTTCCTCACCTCCACCGAGCACTCTCCCACTACCTCTCTGTAACGGTATAACAATGGAATATTAGATTTACGCATATTAATTACAACCAGCATATCGCTAGAATGAGAAACTAGGGGTAAGAAATGGTTGCTAGTCAAGGCAAGCCATGGGCCTGTTGGAATAGTCGGTGCCTCTGCTTTCGTTTTTTAATACGCCTCTCTATTATGCAGTTTTATCAAACATGCTCCTCTACTATTTTTTATATCAAAGATGCCCCTGTATTTTGGAAAATAATCAAACATGCCCTTCTATTAAAACTTCCATTGAAAAAATCGTCAATCTTGGTTGAACCGAGATTTAAATGACCCGACACCGGCAAATGGGAGGGAAAATGTCAGTTTTGTCTCTTGATTTATTTCTCTAGGACTTGTTAAAGTGAAATTATTAGAGGTATTTGGTTGTACAAAAGAGCCAAATAAATTCTAAATTGAAATTATAAGGGATATTGTAGACATTTGTGTCTCCCAAACCAAGGTTCGATCGTGATTGATGATTCTAGGATGCAAATTTTAACAGAAGAGCATGTTTGATCATTTTTCCAAAGTACAGGGGCATGTTTGATGTAAAAATTAGTAGAGGGGCATGTTTGATAAAAAAACATAGTAGAGGGGCATATTATACCTATAACCCTTTCTTTTATAAGGGTGATATAAGTTTTTTTAGTAAGGTGTAGTTAAATGATTCAAATTTATGAGCTCTAGGTTCAACATCGATAGTATTACCACTGAACTAAATCTTTATTTACTAAAAAATAGGATTATGATGAATTAGTGATATGAATTATGGACAAAATGTGAGTCTAGTGTCAAAAATAGGAAAAATCATTGTTAGTTGATGTTATATGGGGTCAACCTGCTAGATAATAATTTTGAGCCCAGACTCATTAAATCATGGGCCATGGGATAAGGAATGACCTTTCTAATTCTAAGTATGGACTATCGGGTTAAAATATGGGCTTAATGTTGAAAAACAAAAAAATATTGTTAATTGAGATTATATAAGCCAGTCCAATGGATGATTAATTAATTTTGAGCTCAAACTCATTGTAAAGCATGAGGGAGAAAAACACATACTTTCTAATTGTAATTATTTGTGGCTACTAACTATTGTTTTATTTATTCTTAATTGTAAAATAAATATTTGGTTTAATACAATTGTATATCCAAAACTTTCACGGTTGTGCCAATAATATCCAAATTTTCCGGAATACCACTTATATCCATGTTTTAAAGTTGTTCTTTGCCAAATCTATCAATTTTCCAATATATTTTTGGTTAAATACACTTGTATATCCAAAAACACCGTTAAAAAATGTGAAGGAATTGGATAAAAGTGGTATTTCGGGAAATTTGGATATTATTGACACAACCGTGAAAGTTTTGGATATACAAGTGTATTTAACCTAAATATTTTTTATTATATATATATATATATATATATATATATATATATATATATATATATGGTGGCGTATTCAGTGCACCCACTTTTTTGGGTGCACTCAGTGCACTCGCCTCATAATTGTCATTCTGAGCATGTGATTCATGTCAAAACGGTATCAATTGTTGCTTATGATATCATGAACAAGAATCACATGAATTTGAAAAAAAATCATTCAAAATTTACTTTAATTTGAAGGATTTAGGATTTAGGGATTTAGGGTTAGGGATTAGGTTTAAAATTTGGGATTTTGGATTGGGATTCAAAATTGAAGGTTAAGGGGTTAGGGTAATAGATTGATTTGTTATGATTCTATGTCATATCATCATATTAGATTGAGAGTACTAATTAAAGTTCAAAATTTGATGTAATATGGACACTTTTAGAGTGGGTGCACTGAGTGCACCCAAAAAAGTGAGTGCGCCGAAGTAGCCATCATATATATATATATATATATATAATATATATATATACAAAAGTTGGGCACATTCATTTATAGAACTAGACCTCTAAAATTCCTTGATCGGCCATATAGCTAGTAAATTCCCATTCTCAACATTAATGGTTGTAAATCTAATAGTTGAATTTTGCAGAGTTACATCAATTTATTGACTTAAATGTCAAAGATGATTTTACTTTTACATTCATTTTCACGAGTCACAGAAATATGACGTTTGTGATATCTACCACTAGAGGTGGCAATTAGGATCCAAATCCATGAATCCAATCCAATCCAATCGATCCACCAAATTATCCGCATAATCCAATCCATTTGATCCAAATCCAATTGGATTGGTGGATTCATGGATCCAAATGGCAAATTACGATTTGGTACCTATATTTTTATATTTTACATTTTGGTACCTAAAATTTATATTTTTTTACAAAAAATATCATTGAAAAATTACATTTTGGTACCTAAATTTTCATTATGCCATTTTAGTACCAAAACTTTTCACATTTTACATTTTTGTCCAAGCTTTGGATGTCATTTGGATTCATGGATCAATCCATCAATCCATTTGATCCAATCCATTGGATCCAATCCATTTGATCCATGGATCCACCAATCCAATCCATGAATCCACGAATCCTATCCAATTGCCACCTCTATCTACCACCACCAACTAAAGCAACCACATCTTATTTATTGATAACATTGCTCTCATATAGAGGGCCATGAGTACTGATGCAGCAAGGCAAGTGGTTGCAATAAAATAACCCAAATAAAAAACTAATACACCCAGATTTTTCTCTAAAATAATTTTGGAAAACATTTTCTAGCAACCTCAACCGATCCATGAAACAAACAGAGAGAGAGGGAGATAACCTGTATCTGTGGGGCTTGTGAGGCCAAAAGGGAAGGTATTGATGGAGAGGATGGCAACTGTGCCTGAGAACGTCACGCCAGAAATGAACCTTCTCACTCTTCACATTGTTCCCACTGCTGGTGCTAACCACGCACGGCTCCGTGGTTGGGGTGTCGGAGTACAAATTACAAACCACTCCCTCTTCTTCCTTGGACATCCCGAAGAACTCCTCGAACACCTTCATCCCATCCTCCATCAACTCCTCCCCAACTCCATGATTCGTCACCTAATTCATTTCCCCCAATTAATTAACAATCAATTCCACTAGGAAAGGATGTTAATTAATTGCGACTCTTCATTGAACTGTCTGTATGCTCAATAATAATTTACCTGAAAGAAACCGAACTCCTGGCAGGCGTCGACGATGAGCTGAGCGGAGTCCGGTGCCTCCAGATCCACCACGGGGATTTGGTTGCTGACGGGGACTGGGCGGTCGCCGGGCCGCTCCTCCGGCGGTAATATGTAGCTTTCGGGCAAACACTCCACTTCTTTGTACCAGCTCGAAACAAGTTTCGCCGCCATAGTATCAGTAACAATATTAATCCTGCAAAAACACTTGGTTGTATCGGAGCAGAATCCGTAGCTAGCTAGACTCCTGCCTGCCTTTACCTTATGTATTATATATGGTTGGAATGTGTGATGGATCACTTCAATTATAATGATTTTCCAATTATTTGGAATCCGCCTTTACTACTGCTGGCCAGAGAATAGAGCCAAAGAGGAGGAAAGGGCGGATGGTATGTTGCTGTCTGAATTCAATTCACAATTCATCATCTCTACATCACCTTTGAATTTGTCAACAAAAGTCGTCCGTTATTTGTGTTAGCCGGTCACTGCTGCATTTTATTACATATAAAAAATTTTTTGCTCATCACAACTGTGGGACAGGATTATAAAATGGGAAGAGGTTATCGAGTTAGAGTACAATACAAATATTTTCGTTAACAAAACTAAAGGCCGTAAACGCCGAGTAAGTAATTAAATTTGGACTATTAGATTTATTGGATTCCAAAAAATTCAGATATAAGGGTTGTGAATTAAAGGCATTTTATATTGTCTAGTTTTCTTAATCGGCTCTTATCTTCTTCGTTTTAACTCAGATTTCAAAAAAAAAAAAATAAATAAATTGCACAGATGGAACGAGTTCGTTGTGCTTTACAAAATGAGATCAATTTTCAATATATTTCGAGAAACTTTTTTCATACCCCCGTTACCAACTACATACCATATGGTAATTTCTTTGTTTTTAAGTTGTTTTTGAAAACATTTGCTCAGAAGGAACGAGTTCATCATGATCTATTAGATCTATAAATTTCTGGGTGAAAAAAATACAGGATAAAAAATTACCATACTTTTATCACTATGGTATGTGGGTGGTAACTTGTGGTAAACAATGATGAAAGTCGTAAATGACAGTTAGTGTACTCCTACTATCGTTTATTCAACCTTCCTACAGTATTGGTATGTTCGTACCATCATGGTACGCTTTCTTACCATATGGTATTAAATAGGAGCATACCATATGATATTAACTGGTAAAAAAATGACTCAATTGTGGGGACAAGCAAACTTTCAAGTGTGGGGAGTGATTCGGGTCCAAATGTACACATTTTACCCCTCATTTCTTGTTCGTTTTGTTTAGCAGATCACCGTCTCTCGACCTATTTTACGCTAGGTTATTGTTTTTGTTTTATTTCAGGTCCTAGCACGTGTGGGAAGGTCAAGGATGAGTTCCAGGCCGATCAGAGGTCGAAAAGCGCCAAAAAGTGAAAAATGTCCCGTGACCGTGAACCGCGTGCGCCCAAGTAGCGAGTTCATGGTCACCAGGACCGTGAACTAGAACCACAAACCGTGAACTGAAGGGTGTCTAGAGGGGTTTCAGAGGTTACTAACGCCAAGTCAGTTCACGGTCGTAAGACCGTGAACTGCAGCTCTAGATCGTGAAGTGTTGTAGTGAAACAGTGTGAATTGGTTCGAGTTCACGGTCCAGGCTTTGAGTTCACGGCCGTGAACTCAGACCGTGAACAACCCTTGATCTGGCTATAAAATGCAGCAGTAGAAGGAAGAAAAAGGGGAGCTGGTTTTTGGGAGAGGAAATAGTTTCTTTCTCTCGGGTTTCACTCCAAAACACCAAAGGGGAGTTTTGGAGAGAGAGGGAGAGTGCTTGAGTGATCTTGGAGCTTAATTGGAGGCTTGGGTTGATCTTGAAGACAAAGATTCAAGCCTAGAAGAAGAAGATCTTGGGCTCCAATTTGTAATTTCTCTCTTCTCTCTATGGAAACTCACCCTCTTCTCTTGGTTTAAGAACCCTAGGTCCAGATTTGAGTTTAATGTTGATGTATGTGACACATTCCATGTTTGATTGATGATTTTACTTAATTGATGGATTTTTTCATGAATGCCATGAGTTGGATTTCCATTTTCATGTATTGAGCTTTTGACTTAGGAGGGAGAAAATCCCCTTAGAGTCCATTATTGGCATCTTTGGGTCACTCCTCACCCTATATCGTCCAAGTAATCCTCGAGGGAGTCGATTCCATCAATCTCCTATGATATAGGGTTGCCCTAGGTTGAATAAAGCCTACCACATTCATCATTCGTCGTTCCAGGTCATTCCCGAGGGAGTCTATCTCCTAACGGTAGAGTAATTGAGTCAATCAAGCTTTTGACCTAGGAGAGAAACAACTCCTCACCCCATACCATCTGGGCAATCCCCGACGGAGTCGATTGGATTGATCTCCTACGATATAGGGGTGTCTTAGGTTGATTACGGCTCCTACCCATCCATCACTTCACCGTTCCAGTTCTGTCCCGAGGGAGTTCATCTCCTAACAGTAGGACAGTGGGTCGATCATACTAGGAGGATACTCGTCATCGATCCAAAGGTCAGAAATAGGGGCATTTAACCCAAGGGAGCACCAAACCTTGTAAATAGCTAGGTTAGTGGTTAGTCTAGGTTAGTTAATTTAGTTTTCCTAATCACTACTCTAGGTGGGATAGAAAACGAACCCTAAACTTGAAGTAGGGTAAGCCTAGATCCTTGTGGTACGTTATATTCTTATTGCTGCTTTCCCTATGCTGCACCCATTCGTCGGTTATACTTGGCCGGCGATTGGGATGTTGTAGTTGGAACGAGTCAGTGAGCATCTAAGAAGATGTAGAAATTGATTCATCCCAAGGGGACGAACAAATTTTGGAAGAAGGAAGGGAGGTTGAGGATGCAAATGGTGCCTAAGATGAGAACGAGGTTGGGGTGGATAAATCTTCCACAAATGACATGTGCTACCAAAGCCTTCCACCTGACCTTGATGAACTTCTAGAAAGGACCGTTTTTTTATTTCTCTTCCCCAAGCCAAGGCAAACCCTCATCGATCCCTCTTTGTGGATTCCATGGTGTTCAATCCATGATATCCTACATGGTATGGGCAAATAGAAGAGAGAATAAGGAAAGACGAAGAGGTCTTGTAGATGGAGCTTCAAATCTCACCAAGTTTACAAGCCATTACCATTGTTATTCACACAATATGTTCGGGAATTGAAACTCCACATAATCAATGAGAACCTAAAATTCAAGGAGGTTTTGGAGTGGACCGATACTTAGGAGCCACCGTGCGAATCATAACTCTAAAGAAGTGCTTGTTGGAAGGCAACCCAACCTTTAGGTTTGTATTTATTTTCCCTTCAATAAGTCAACCTTCATGACATTGTGGTGTTTTGGATGTTGATTTTCTCTCCCGAGTCTAGTCCCTCCACCATCGTTCACACTTGATCTGGTAACTTCGTTCTACCCTTCTTATCTTTCCTCCATTGAGGACAATGTTGTGCTTAAGTATAAAGGGTGGGGGTGGTTCCATTATGCTTGTTTTTGTGGATGAATAGTTTGAATGTGAGTGTCTGGAGCCTAGTTTTGTATGCCCAAATATTAAAATTTGAGGGCTCCAAGCACATTTAGATGAATGAATTGTTTATGGCCTATATTGAGTGTGTTTTGGAACCTAGCATTGCATGCCAAAGTTTAAAAAATTTGAGGGTTCCAAACACCTTGTCCAATGCATGTACCTAATCAATGTGCTTTGAATTGTTAGATGTCATGATCTGTATTCTAGGGAGGATAGTGTAGCGCTATGAAATATGTCGGTAAATGAGGGGTTTTGCTTATATTTCCTCGTGAATTTGTTGATATTATTTACTATTGAGGTTAGCACATGTGTTGGCTATTCCATTTTGGAATCCAAAAAGGTTTTGCAAAGGTGTTCTAGTTTTGATTTTTTTTTTTAAATGAGTGTTCTCATGTGAGAGACAACCGGTCATAGTGTTTTTGTTAAGCCATCAAAGAGCTTTTCTTTTGGGCCGGAGTTCCCTTTAAAAATGTGTTTGGGGATTCAGATAGCTTTCCATCATCTACCAATCTTCTTCTACCCTCCATCTCCCAAACACCTCTTTCCTCACGAGACTTGGAGATAGTGTATCTCTACGCAAGTCGGGAGACCTCGACTTTTGCTAATATCTCACATATGTGGCAACTCATTTGTCGTTGAGACAGGAGCGCATACTTGGAATTGATGTTTGAGAGATCATGACTCACGTCCGAGCACTTCACCTTCCTACACTTCCTCTTATTAACTATCACTATCTCCACGTGAAACTATGATAAAGAAGTCAATATAACTTTTGCTCTAAATAACTTGGGCTAAATTGCAAGTTTGGTCACTCGAATTGTTACAAAATTTCACGTTTGGTCACTCGAATTCATTTATTCCATTCGTAGTCACTTAAATTAGTTGAATAGTCCAAGTTCGGTCACTCTCCGTTAACATCCGTTAGACTCCATTAGTGCCGTCAATTAACTGCTAACGTGGCTAACAGAGATGCCTAGTCACCCAATTTTAACCCAAGAAAAAACAGAAATTGACCCGCCACGTCAAAAAACATGCCACCTCATATAAACACAACCCAACCCACCCAACCTAAAAAAAACCATTAACCCACCCAGAAATCGAACCCGTGACCGATCCACCCTTCTTCTTCTTCCTCTATACCCTGCTTCCGCCGCCGCCGGGGGGATTTCCACTCGATCTCCCTGCTGCAGCCCCCGCCGCCGGATCTAGTTTCGCGAGGAAGAAGAAAGTGAGAAGGAGGAACTAAAAAAGCCGGTTCTTCGCCATGGTCCCAGAATCGCCATCGACGGCTTTGTGGCTTCTGGCTTTGTGGCTTCTGTCTCCATTGATTTCGAACTCTATTCGTATTCGAACTACAAAGAAGAGGTTGAGCCGCCCTCCTCCGCCTCCCTCTGAGCAAAATCAGAAGACGATGAAAAGCGATAAGAAAAAGAAACAAACCTCAAGCTTGGACAGCAATGGTAGAGCTGCAACAGGCGGTGAGATGGTTACGGATTCACGGTTTTCCATGGCTCACACTGACCCTCGGTTCCAGAATCGCAGAGCTCAGAGAAGTGATCAAGGATACCCATCTTTTCTTTCGCGGATTCAAGGGTGGGTTTTAGTTTTAGATAGGAAGGAAGGAAAGGGACGAAGTTTAGGAAGATAAAGCTTCAGCTTTTTTCAATTTAAAGGGATCAGCGGCCATAGCAGAACCGAACAGAGGGATAATAGAAAAGAAAAAGAAATGGTTAATGCCTGGCCAAATTACGGTATTATATTTGTCACTGTGTTGGACAGGTGGGGCGCACAACAGCCGGCCATGATTGGATTTGGAGCTTCCTTAGAGATGAAAGAGTTTCCTGTTAAACGTTGGCAAGCTAGAATCTTCCATGGAAGGTGATGGACTAGATGCACATCGATAGTCTGATATGCTGTCCAGTGGAGCAAATGAACAGAGGATGGGGTATTTTGTTGCGGTGGTAGGTGGATTGTTGTTTTATCCTTGGTTCCTCCTTCTCACTTTCTTCTTCCTAGCGAATCTGGATCCGGCGGCGGGGGCCGCAGCAGGGAGATTGAGGGGAAATCCCCCAGGTGGCGGCGGAAGCAGGGTATAGAGGAAGAAGAAGAAGTGTGGATGGGTCACGGGTTCGATTTCTGGGTGGGTTAATGGTTTTTTTAGGTTGGGTGGGATGAGTTGTGTTTATATGAGGTGGCATGTTTTTCTGACGTGGCAGGTCAATTTCTATTTTTTCTTGGGTTAAAATTGGGTGACTAGGCATCTCTGTTAGCCACGTCAGCAGTTAACTGACGACACTAACGGAGTCTGACGGATGTTAACGGAGAGTGACCGAACTTGGACTATTTAACTAATTTAAGTGACTACGAACGGAATAAACGAATTCGAGTGACCAAACGTGAAATTTTGTAACAATTCGAGTGACCAAACTTGCAATTTAGCCAAATAACTTGTAAGTCATCATCAACATACCCCAACGTTTGTACAATCACGCCTCTACTTGATAGCCTAGGAGAGTGAAAATTTTCACTTCTCCTTAATACTCCCTCAAGTGTCCAAACCCCAAACATAAAACCCCTCTCATTTCTCCCTGTCAATCTCCTCCCATCCTCTCTCAATCCCATTCCAGAGGAACAAAACACAGCCCTCCACATCAAATGTTCAATGCAGCAACGAAATCCCATCATCTATTATCAACAACAACAACTACAACCCCGCTCTTTCCATACATCATCAGACAATGCCTCCCCTCTCCTAACAATCGCCGTCCTATGCATCATCGGAGCCGCAGCTGCATTGCTTCTCGCATACTACGTCTTGGTCAACAAATGCCGCTGTTCCTCGCTTCCCTTCAATCTCCCAACATCGACCTGGTTTCTCCCTTCCTCCAGCGCAACAGCCGCCACCGGACAACCCGCTGTTGACGACTCCTTCATCGCCCTGTCCCCTGGCAATTGGCCTCTCGGCGGCGGCGGCGGCGGCGGCCTCGACGAACTTACCATTCAAGCTCTCCCAACTCGCGAGTACAGAACAGGAGGAGTACTAGAATGCGGCGGCGGCATCTACGGCTGCGTGGTGTGCCTGAACGAGTTCAAGGAAGAGGACATCCTCAGAGTCCTCCCCAATTGTGCCCCCGCCTTCCACTTGCCCTGCATCGACCTTTGGATGCAGAGCAATGCCATTTGCCCGCTCTGCCGGACAAGCATTTCCTCGGCGCAACTCGCTTCGGGGCATAATCCTCGTCGTCTCCAAGTGTGCTCCGAGCTCCTCCCCTCGAGGCTCGCAGCAACAAGCCGAGAGCGTCTTAGGAAGCGACGAGGATTTTTGTGGTGATTGAGTTGGGCGGAGATGTGGAAGGCCGTTCCGTCGTTTCGTGAAGCTCATTCGCCTGCTGCTCCTCGTCGTCGTTTCGGGAGCCAGTCTCCTGAGGTGATTGGGAAGCGGAAGCAGAGCAAGCGCGGCGGCCGCCACTTGTCCGTGATGGGTGATGAAGGGATCGATTATGTGAGGATGGGGAAAGAGGGTGAAGGTGATCAGTTTGCAGTTCAGCCAATCAGAAGGTCCTCTCGTGGGATTCGGCGGCGGATCGGCAGCTTCTATCTAGCGTTCGAGCCTTGTTGATTCGACGGAGTAGTAGTGGTGGTGGTAGTCATAGCAGAGCTCGAAACGAAGGACGCTGTTTTTTCCCGTTTGGTTAAAGTCCCAGGGTCCTGCTGAAACAACTCGGTGGTTGCATTGCCAGTTGGGTTTGTTTTCTTGTCAGTTTTGATCTCGCATTTTCCTCATCCGGGATGGGTTGGGATAGAATCATTGCGGGAGTCTTTTCTGGCCCTAGGCAAAACAGAGTGGATTGATCCTTAATGAATGAGAATGATTTTTCCTTTCAACTTTCTTCACACAAAAGGTCGACGGGGGATCGATAAAGAAAGATATGGCAAAGGAATTATGGAGCAGAGTGTGGCGTGCAGTGATCTCCATGACCACCTTCTTTTGTCTCCAAGTAAAATGATTGTAATGATCGTGCCCATTCGTAAATCCTACATAAAAGAGTACTTAACGCATGCAGGGAAGAGATGGAATTCGACCACGGGCGTGGAGAAACGCTTAGGGGACTGGAATGGATGAGTTCTCCTTCTCGACAATGCTGGGACTGCGAGAGAACAGGAACTTGATGTTCCTTGGTCAACCGCCAAGGAAGAGTGTGGATCAGAAAATGTTAGCAATTCGAGCTTAGAAAAGATTTTCGGGTAGACTTAGTTTCGACACAACTAGTACACATACATAAGCTTGGAGGAGTTATCAATCATCTTATTATCACCAAATAACCGAAGTTTGACCATAGATACAAGTCGACTCAAATGTGGATGACCGAGACGGGAGTGCCAAAGATGCAAAGACTGTTCAGCGAGACTCGATTATTCACTAATGCAAGCAATTTCAGTTTCCAAACATATTTTACTCTAAGTACTTTTATATAACAATGAATGACTCCCTAAATTTTGCTTAGTTTTCAATGAAAGATGAGATGCTGTTAATTTGATTTATGAGCTCATATATACCACCATGCCACTAAAGCTACAATCATTGTGATCTTTAGTTGTTCACTCACCTCGCCAATGTTTACAGGTTCATATTTTGCTATGAAATTTAGATAAAAGAAACTTTAAATCTCACACGTTTAAAAGTAGGAGATGGAAACTATGTAAATAAGTGATTGCAAATTACTATTTTGAAACCCAAAATTGAAGGAATTTAGACCATCTCATTTCGCAGTAAATTAAAAAGTCTTATGGGAAAGTGATACCTTAGCGTTGGATGTGGTGGTGAATGAACAACTAATGCCAAACGTGGCCTAAAATTTCACTCCACTATGAATTGCAAAATAACATTCTTCCCAAACTCAATTTATTACCAGTCAAATCATATTTGGTAATATCACTTGAAGGTCATACCAATAAACGACTATTTAGTTTGATTATAAATTAGACCTATTACATTGGCCTAAAAAATGAATATCAACTCTAATGTAATATTTGCAAATTTTTTTTTTATAACAAACATAAATGTGATGGTGGAAACACTGATAATGAAAGTGTGAATGGTTTAATGTGGATAGCTAAATGGTCGAGATTTCTTTATAGGTATAATTATATGGACTCAAATAAATTCAAATTGCGGGGTCCGACCCAAATAAATATTTTTCTGCTTTAACTCTCACCTCTATTCCATAATTAGTAAATGAAAGTAATCCAACGGGCCGGATGAAAGCTAGTTTTCTATAAAACGGGTTCATTCGAGTCAAACTCCAATCCGATGAACTTCAAGCCCAACGGCTTAAACCGGTTGTGAGTCTTTTGACAAGGAAACTTTCGTCCACGCAAACCGAACTTTTGCCCGCTCCGCCTCCCGCTCGGCTCCAGTATTACTTCTCGTCTGGTTCACCTGCAAAGACAATATAAGAGCTTTCTTATTCCTTTGCCTTTTCCTGTTCCAGTTCCTGGGTTTCCTTCTACTTCTCGACAAGCCCTCCCTCTGTCGTTTATCTGTCTCTCTGGGTTCGGTGAATTCCAGGGGATACCTATTTGGGCGCTGTCCACTCGATAGTTCCTAGGGCCGTTTCGTTCGGAGCTCTTGCGTTGCTGGGTCGCGGGTAATTCCATCTCCTTGTCCCTTGGCAAATTAAGATTTTATATTTGATGTTCCGCTTATATGCGGCGTGCTAGATAGTTGAATCTCTTCCAACTTAGCTTGCTCCTTGGTTATTGGGGTTTAAAGTTCGGAGTTCTATTCTTAATGATCGATTGACGTTGAATTTGGTGCCTGCAAAGCATTCCTTTAGCTCTGGTCTCAGAGTACCATGATTTGCAGCATCTCGGAGTTTCTGTCTGATCAGTGGGAGTTTATCATTGTTGATGACATGCTGATAGTTTGATGACTTAAAACTATTGATAAGCTGTTGATTATGGGTTTTCTGCTATGTGGAGTATCAAGTGTTAGATTGAGTTTTACTTTGAGACTAGAGCCTTTGTGAAGATTCGATCTTTGCTCTTCATGGTCCTTATTTAGTGAAAATTATGAGGAACGCATCTCATTCTTGTTAACTGTAGATCAGCTTTCTTCACTTAATTGGTCTGTACTCACCATCTCTTTTAGTATACTGCCCCATTTGTATTATACATTTCTGCATTACTGCACTAGTGAGTATGGCTGTTGAAGAGCTCATAGTGGAAGTACCCAAACTACAATGCATGATGGATGTAATACTTAAGCATGTAAAACTACTTGATTGTGAGCTGCTAATGATTCATAACGCCCTCATTTGCTTGCGTAATTTATAGCATTTCAATAACTTACTGGCAATGAGCAGTACAGCGAGTGAACAGAGGTTTTGTAGCGCACTTCATAGTGATACTCGAACTTTGTCCTTCTGTAATTATATATGTAAACCTCATTGATTGTTCGTTCGTGGTGGTAAAAAAAAAAAATGTTTGCTTTGGTGTCATACATCATTGTTAAAGGTTCCTATTAGTTGGGAAAGAAACTCGGGAGTGTTTATCAGCCCTTTGTCCTTAGCAACAGGGAAAATTATGTTGCTTCTGACTTGTATACCTATACCTATTTCAAACTTGATTCTGCAAATCAGATGCTGTCAATTTGACCAAAGGATGCTTGCCGTTTTTCTCCTCTCTAGTTCTATCTCATAAAATCCTGTATAGTTGTGTTCAAGTCCAATTTGTTTTGGTTGCCAACGTATGGGGTCAAATAATTTAGCGGGTTCCCCAGTCATTCTTTGCTGAAATGTTTAAGATCTTTTACGAAATACAGAAGGGGACTTAAATGATAATAACACAACAGTTTTGTCAATAAAATAGGGAGTTTGGAATATCACTTGTACTATGACTCGTGCAGTATTCTTGGCATCAAGTAGGACATATACTTTGGGATGTTTGGATTATATTATTGTGCGGTCACGTGCTTGGGATGTGCAGTAGATAATGTGTAAATAGACCAGTATTGTTCAGTTATTAAAATCAGTTTATCCTGCAGATGATTGGTTTGAGGCAGTAATAGCATTGGTTGCTTATGTGTAGTATTCTGATATCCCAACCTCTATTCTATTCCCTCCAACTCTGTTTCCTTTTACTGTCTTTTTTGCGAGTACTGGACTTTGAATCTCCAATATTTATTTTATTGTTGTACTTTTGAGAAGGGATATTTATTATTATGCTGGTTTGGCTTCTTTATATGCCGTTTAAACCGATGATCACAGTAAATTAGATGTTATCCTACTTGTTTCTTACAGACTGTTAGTGTTGTCTCAACGCCACGTCATCTTTGAGTTGTCTGCTTACTGTTTGTGTCACTATCAAACGAAAATATATTTAAGGTAAAGCTTGTAAATAACTTGAGTTCCTTTTTATTTCCAGAACTTTGTTTCAGCAATTGTTCCTGGGGGATGGACTGGTTTCCTTTGCATGCTCTATGCATCTGTGAATGATGTTCAGTGGGCAGACGAACTCTAATACCCTCAGGAAATTTAATTGGAGATGGCATGAGGACTCCACTTTGACAGCAGGCTTGCTTAAGGATGTGGCACCAGAGATTGAGCTGTCTGGTTATGGAAGGATACCAAGTCCTGGTAGTGAAAGCCCTTCTGGGCTTCTTAATGGTGAAAGCTTGAACGTGGAGCCAATTGCTGATCTGGACTTGTTCTTTGAAAGGCTTTACAGCTATTACTGTGAGAAGGGCCTTTGGTGCATTATTATAAAATGGATAGTTGAGCTTCTGAGCCTTGGTTTCACCATCTGTTTCTCGGGATTTTTCTTACTTTATGTTGACTGGAATGGTCTACGTAATGCAAAGTGTGGAATGGATGCAGTTGAATCTGGAACCAAGCCTTGCGACCTTGCAAAAGAAGCTCTTCATGAGCACCCATTAACCCCCTTGACTCTATCAAAAGCCATAATTGTTGGATATTTGGGATTGTTTTCCATCTATCTGGTCTTCTGTTTCTTCAGGTTTTTCTCTCAGTTGAAGGAGACCCTTAGGATCCGTCAATTCTATCACAACAGGTAACCATGATACCCTGTTTGGCATGCCTAAAGCGTTTTGGTTTATCTTTTCTGTGAATTTTAATTTGCTTATCTGTTGTAATTTCCTTACTTATTTTTTCATTTGGCTATGTTCTTGGGTTTAGCTGCCTTTCTCCTTTTTTATGGTGAGTGCTTCAGGTATCAAACTGTGAATTGCATTTTCTTTTGCAGTCTTCATGTGACAGACAAGGAGATCCAAACTATGCCATGGGCAACAGTTCTTGAGAAAATTGTCCAACTGCAAGCCTCACAACAACTATGTGTGGTCAAAGACCTATCAGCTCATGACATGGTCATGCGGTTGATGCGGAAAGAGAACTACTTGATTGGGATGCTCAATAAAGGGGTACTTGCATTCCCTATATCACAATGGGTTCCAGGTGCTGGGCCAACAGTCAAATTTGGTCCAGATGGAACTCAGTATCGTTTAGTTCTCACAAAGACTCTTGAATGGACCTTAAACTGGTGCATACTGCAGAGCATGTTTGATCGGTAAGTTCTTATATTTGTTTGTTCTCGTGTGTGTTTGAGGTCAAGGACTTAACTTTCTCATTTCTTTATATTGTTTTGCAGAAACTTCTGTGTTAGGATGGACTTCCTTTCGAATCCTAAAACACTAAAAAAGCGACTTATGGTTGTGGGGCTTGCAATGCTTCTGCTTTCGCCATTTCTTGTTATATTCATGTTAGTATATCTCTTCTTGCGACATGCTGAGCAGTTCTATAATCATCCTGGCACAGCATCATCTAGACGGTGGTCAAATTTGTCAAGGTGGATGTTCAGAGAATTCAATGAGGTGCATGTCTGTCTTTTGTGTCTCTTTCTTTCGCAGTCTGTTAATTGGTTAATACTTTTGTACTTTTTAAAAGAGTATTCAGATATCTCCCTGCCATTAGGATGACGCCATAGTCTAAACATATAAACCACTGCTTGGAATTATAGTTTGCTATTACCCCTTTCTAATTCTTGGCTTCACACTGAAAATACATATGCGGATGATTAAGGCCTTTCTAGTTTATCTGTGTGATGCTAAGGTATAGTGTAGGCAAAATCCTGGTTGCTGGAAACAATTTTTTTTTTTTTTTTTTTGCCATCTCCGCAAGCCAGCCAAAAAGTTTCTTCCAGTCTAATTCTTTTTTTATAGGCACCAAATTGAGCACTGGTGATTTAAGATTCTTTTGTTTGTGTAACAGGTTGACCATTTGTTCAAGCATCGAATCAACAGCAGTATAGTGCATGCTTCAGAATATCTAAAACAGTTCCCATCTCCTATAATTTCAATTGTTGCAAAGTTTATCTCATTCGTATCTGGTGGATTTGCTGCTGTCCTGCTGATCATTGCATTGGTGGAGGAATCTTTACTCGAGGGCCATGTAAGAGACCCTTTTCTCTACCCCTCCCAAGAACTTAACGATATACGTAGTTTAGATGTCTTTGTGCGACTAGTACAAATATCAGAGATACATGTCATATAACATAGCGATTTCATTTTGTAGATTTTCGGGCGCAACTTGTTTTGGTATGCTGCTGTTTTTGGAACTATAACAGCTATCAGCCGGGCTGCAGTGACTGATGATCTCCTAGTTCTCGATCCGGAAGGAACAATGGCTGTGGTGGTACAGCATACTCATTATATGCCAAAGAGGTGGCGGTGCAAGGAACATACTGAGACAGTTAGAATAGAGTTTGAAACCTTATTTCAGGTAGTCAGTCTGTTTGCCGTGTAGTATGAGCCTATTATCCGAGCTCAAATAATAAAGTCAACTGTAGTGCTCTCTTCTCTTGCTTTCATATTTGACCGAGCTCTAAGTTGGTTTGTCCATCCTGGGGCTTTTACGTGCTGCAGTATACTGGTATGATGTTACTTGAGGAGATGGCATCGATATTTCTCACTCCACTCTTGCTTTTATTTGTTGTACCAAAGGTACCAACTTCTTCACACATGGTCCATATCTTGCCTGTTCTGTGCCATATATGCAATGTTTAAGCCATCACTTATATGGTCTTGCAGCAAGTTGATGACATCTTGGAGTTCATATCAGATTTCACAGTGGATGTCCAGGGTGTAGGCCATGTTTGTAGGTCAGTCTGTTGTTAACCCTCAAAATATAGATTGATTGAGAATCAACAGTTTTTTGGTTGTCTTTTGCTCTGAGCACTAAACAGTTTCAATATAACCATTTACACATTGCAGTTTTAGTGCCTTTGATTTTCTAAATCATGGCAATAGCAACTATGCTTCTCCCTGTAATGCACCTCGCACTCAAAGGAGTTCTCAGGGAAAGATGGAAAAAGCAATGTTGAGGTATGACTATGCCACTTCCTAGCAAATCTTGATGCAGGTTGATTAATACTTGGTCATACAGCTGGCCAAATTTCAAATCTTAATTATTCAATAGCTTAATTACTTTGCCGAGTGTGGGGTTTATAGGCTGTAAGAGCTAATTTTCCACTGTGGTTTGCAGTTTCAAGAGTAGCTATCCTTCATGGGAACCAAATGCTCAAGGGAAACAATTCCTGCTAAATCTTCGGAACTTCAGGGAGCAGAAGCTGCAAGGTCCAGGAATTAGACATATGTGTCAGCATCCTCAATTGTTACGAGGCAGCCCCCTAAGACTTAGAAGTGCGGAGGAGAGAAACACGACCTTTTCTCGGGGTGCGCCATATTATACTGCTAGATTTCAGTTGGATTCCTTATGGTTGATTGATGTTGATCAAAAGAATCATCATCCATATCTTCTGGATTGGTACTATATGGCCCAACACCACAATTCGATGAATGATAATACAAGAGAAGAAGAATGTACTGTACAACTTGATGTGAATGAGCAACAAATCGAAGATATCTGGAACCCTTCCAATTTGGCACAGGGTGGTGTTGCAAGATACGATCATGAAGACTACTGGGGTGCTCAGCATGTGGATGATCGACTGGGCTCTCATCTGCAGGCTTCCACGTCTGCTCCATTCTTTCGGGAGAGTGTGATCCGGCATCACGATTCCACTCACGGTGCTGTTAATCCTGGTGGAAGCCATTGGTGGTCCAGAAGCAACTTGCAAGGACGACAGCCGCAGGCAAGTTTCCTGGAGCCCCCTGATTTCAACAGATTTGCTCGTGGTAATCAGTTTGAGAATTTATCGGAAAGAAGCATGGAGGAGCAAGAACAGGACTTGGAGTTAAGGAATTCATGTAGTGCGTCCAGGACTACTTACATGTATGATGATGACATTGAAGCTGGAGGAAGGAATTTGAGTCTCCATTTTGATGAAGTTTATGCCAGCAGACCTGAAACTAGAACTATAGATCAAGACCATGAAGACCCACCTAGCTTTTAAAGAAAAATGATACTTTCTTCAGTCTGAATAGAAGGTTCTATGTTCAGATATATGGAATCGTAGTGGACTTGTGCAGATTTAGATTTAATTGTTGTACATAAGATTCATTTTTAAGGTAGCTTCCTCCAGTCAATTTTAGGAGTTGGCCACTTCATTGTGAGTCACCTTCTGAAACTGTAAAGACTAAAGGCGATCCAATTGAAATCCAGCGGAGATTCGTTGAATCTTCTGTTAACATCTGCTTGGCCATGGCTGCAAAGTATTGTTATGGGGCATAAGATAGTCATTATTGTTATGGCCTATGGTAATAAAATCACGTTATTTAGCGAAAGTTTTAAAATGTTATAAAATTTATCACATCCTTTTGATGTATTATGCTGATGTAGTATGAGATCAAGTCATTCGAACTGAAAGTTTAAGCCTAGAGGGTCTGATTTTCGACCCCTCTTAGATACCGTCCATCTAGGATTAATCAGCTGTTTATTAGACATTAATTACATAATTAGTTTCTTTCGTCATATTGAGAAAGAGAAAGAATTTGGGGAAAAACATTTTCACCCCAATTCAAAATTCATTCCCCTTTTCGTCTCTCCCTTTTCGTCTCTCTTTCGTTTCCTCCTCTCTCTCTCTCTCTCTCTCTCTCTCTCTATTTCCCTTTTCCCCTGCTTGTCGCCGTCACATTTTCCCCGCCATGATTCATGTTTTTCGATCGTTGACGCACCAAAAAGATTATCTCCCTCCGGCTCCATCCCCTATCCTCTGTCGTGGGCTACGTTTCGGATGGTGGTTGTCGTTGTTCTCCGAGCAACACCAGGCTTGCCGCTGCGACTCTCCATCTCCTTCCACAAACTTGACACTGCGAAGATCGACGGTGAAGACGACGACCCTCCTCACCTTCCCGGCGGCGAAGAATTTAAGGTAGCTCTTTCCCCCCCCCCCCCCACTATCTCTCTCTCTCGCAAACCCAAATCTGGGTTTTTTCGTGTGGTATTTGTACTAGTGCAATGGTATTTTCATTACCCATATTTGTGTCTTTGATTTTCCAGATCTGGATTTTTTTCATATGGTATTCGTACCCGTGTACTGGTATTGATACTAGTGTAATGTTACCACTACAATGGTAATTCTACCAGTGTTTGAGTTTCTGTTGAACGGTATTAGTGGTAAGTATTTTTTTTATTCTAGTGGTATTTGTACTAATGCAGTGATATGTCTTACCAATACAGTGATATTTTTTGCAGGTGCTTGGAGGAAGTTAGTGCAAAGATGTACTGGTAATTTTACCATTGTAGTGATAGTTGTCTTACTTATCGAACTTGTACTTCTATCACTGCATTGATAGTGTTGATTATTGTCTGTAGGAATGGCCAGGATGAAGAGACCATATTCCTGAGTGCCTAGGGGGAAGAGTCATGTAAGCTATGTTCCTCGCCATGTAGAAGTTAGGGTAGGTCAGGAACATTCCTCGAGTGCGAGTACCAGCTGAAGGGACACCGTGAAAGCCGGGATAATGGGCAACAAGATAAAGGGAAAAGGAAACGTACTGATGATGTTAGTGGCAAGAAGTGCAGCCCCAACTCGAAAATTCAAATTCTGTTTTTCCGTCGCATTACCCAAGTGCCCCATTCGTCCTTCTGGACCTGATTTATCGTTGTTTAGACTTCCCAGTACCCACAAACAATTTCTTAGTGACTTCATGTTTATTTGTTACATTGGTTGGATATTTTATAGTTGTTACTAATGGGAAGTTGATGGTTTGTTTACGCATCAGTTCTGTGGTACATGTATCAGTCAGGGGCGGAGCCAGGGGGTATTGGGGGTGTCCCGGGACACCCCTAATTTTTGGGATAACGATTATCCAACCCCCGATAGTAGTTTTCGTGTGGATAAAAAATATAAGTGGTAGACTAGGTGATTTAAATTAGGATACTAAGATTATTAGTAAACATGTTTTTCATTAGACCACAATTCATTTGTTATTGTATTTTAAACACTAGTTTAATAGTAAAAATGATATTCCTTCTCCCGATTATTTTGAAAATCTAACCATTGAACCTGATTACGAGTTATCCTTATTCCCTCCATTCTATCATATCCATTGGTTTACTTGCTTCTCAAAGTAATTGATTTTACCGATTGCAACTGCAGGTGTTGAAATAACATATTTAGTTTTGGGAAACTTTAAGAACAAGTTTCGTAATTGATTAAATGATCAGTTTGTGAATGATTGTATAGTAAGATGGAGATATTTGTTGAGCCGTCCAGACACTGAGTATATTTTGTAACACGTCGTAGACTTTTGTTGTAACTTGTATTAGTTAGATATATTTTAATTAATTTTTTTAATTATTTATCTAATTTTTGAAAGAGTACACCCCTATATAAATTCCCTGGCTCCGCCATGGGTATCAGTGCAATGGTATGTGTATAAGTTCACTTGTATATCTATAAGTACAGTGATACATGTACCATCTCAATGGTACCACTCCAAAGTATATTTAACATTGCAATGGGAACATTTAGTATGATTTTCGATTTTGCTAATGGTACAAGTATAAAATATCCAACATTGCAAGTGGATGGTCACATTTTGGTGTGGACTTGAATAGTTGCACTGATACTTGTATCAGATCAGTGGTACATACACCACTTTAGTGATACATGTATCAGTTCAATGGTATATGTACCATAAAAGTGGTACATTTTCACGACAATGTCGCCCTCCATGTTCTTCTTCATCCTCGACGAGTTCTCCCTCGGTGGCCAACAATGCATCCGGCGGTCGGAAGGCGAGTTTGGTCCCATCTTCAAATCCTCGTCATTCGATGTCACCACAGGAGCCGTCGTTCTTGGCAATGCTCAGAACCGCCGCACGGAATCTCGAATTCGTCTTCCCTCCCGGTGTGGCCTTCATTGGCTTGATCTTCGAAGATATCCCTTGCATCTCATCATCCGACGGCGAGCAACCCACCAAGCAGGTCGGAGGCGATCCCACCGTGACAATGCCCGATTGTTTCCCACAACCGTCGAGTTTTGCAGAGTAGAGAGCCGAACTTCTAATATTTCGAGAGGAAAGAAGGGTAATATGGGAGTTCGATTTATTTCCCTTATCCAACTTGATTTACTCATTCCCCATAAAAACGTAATTAATATTGGAACTTGTCCCATTTACAAAATTATGGAAAAAAAATATAAAAATCTCTTTCATTAATTCTTGCTCACAATGAGGTCACAAAGCGACCCTCTTAGGAATCAACTTCTTTTCCTTCTCAAGACGTATCATAACCTCGCAAGGTCTCCTAGAGTTATTTTCCTAATCATGGTTAGAGAATACTTGGAGATTCTAAAAATCCTCAAAAGAAACCTTGACTCGCTTGGTCAAACATTTAACCTGACACCCCTTTTCCTTTCCTTGTAAAACAAAAACCTTGAAAAAAAACACAGATCTTCACTCCAGTATTCCTTTGATACCAAGGAACAAAGAAGTGTCGGCTTTGATACCAAAATGAAACGTTCCGATACTTTTACCCAACCGAAATACACATGGCTTCAGAGCCGATTATAAACGATACTCAAAATTTCACTAAAACAAATACAACCGAATCCGAATCCTTTTAAAACGAAACATCAAATGCAATGTCGTAAACATGTGGGCAACCTCAGACCGCAGTCAATAAAACTTAATCTTTGAACCTTGAACCTCCAATATATTTTCATAACCATAAACATAACTAACTAAATAAACTCTAACTCTAACTCCTTGCTAAGATCCCTGAGATCTTGTCTATGCTGGTGCGGCTTCTCGCCTTGCCTTGCCTCTTCTCGAAATCCACCTTTGCTAACCCTTCCTCAACCTGGTGAGTGAGAAGGGGTCAGTCTCGTCGTTACTTCCTAAAGTCTTTGCCCTAAGCAATCTCCTTACTAAAACCCGTTATTAGCGTGTTCTTTCCTTAGATGAAAGTCGTTCTCAGTTTCATCCTCAATAACTTATCCCAACGTTAAATCATAGAAGTTCTCTACTTCTATTCTTAACTCATAGAAGTTCTCTACTTCTATTCTTACCACATACACATATCACTAGGGTCCATCGCATTACATCTCGTCGTCCGATGTCCCTACCCTGGTATGCCAACCGTGTTACGTCTCGTCGTCCAGTTGCATACCCAACTCGGATATGGTATGTGTTACGTCTCGTCGTCAATTACCATGCCCTATCACCTGCTGCGTTACGTATCGTCGTCCAGCAGTGACCCGACCATCTACCGCGTTCAGTAGTGGCCCAACCGCTAGGGGATTCAATTACCAATAACCATACATTACAACATACATTCATTCATACATAGCACAACACGTGCCTCCATCTTAAGTAGGCAGTGGTATGCCTCACACACATGATCGCGCAAACTCAAAAATTAACTAGCATTACTTAAAGTAATTCCATAAACTAAAAGACCTCGACAAAGATTTTACCCCCTTTACACTCACCTCAAAAAGACGACTTTGATTCCGCTCTAAAAATTCCATGACTAGATCCCATTAAATTCTCCTCGCTTCCACGATTTCATAGGTGCCGACGGTTCCTCGGTCAGACGTCAAACGAACAAGTTATAACCAAAATAAGAATTCTGTCAGATTCCCAAGTATCAGGTACCAAATCCAAAATTTTCCAAGTCAACACCATTGACCCTGACCCTTCTGGAAAATAATATATTCAGTCTTCTAAATTTTTTTTTATGAATCTTCTACTTTTTTTAATTATCAAGAATGGTACCTGAACTTGACAAATTTTCCTCCAAACTTCCGCGACTTGGTTCTCCCGCATCCGATGTCGGAATTCAATTTCGTTAACATGGTGACGATCCTAGGATTGCCCTCTATGAAACCGGTGGGTTGAAATTCGTTTTTTTTTTCATATTCCGGCGACTCTCCGACGAAGCTACGACGACCCATCAAATCACCAACTTGGATTCCAACTCCGTGGGATGTTTCCTGACCTTCTCTCGGCCAAAACCCAGCGCTTGGACTCCTCCTTTTCCTTCTTCTCTTCACTCCTCTTCTTTTCCGTCGAGGAACAACATCGAGAACATGGTGACGCATTGGAGGACCGACGGAGGAAAATGGGGGGGGGGGGGGGGGGGGGGGGAGGAAGATGGGTCTGCCACTCCTTCTTTTCCCTCTTCCTCTTTTCGTCCTCTGCTCGATCAGAGAAATCGGGGAAGATTTTTGGTGCCAAAGTTCGGCCAGAAGAAACTGCTTGTTTTCATACAGAAGCAACACGGGCACAGGACACAACCGCGTTCTTGCCCGTGTTCTCCCCAATCGTCGTCCCTG